AAGACCGACCTATTTCATCTTCCTCATCTACTTCATACATTGCCAGATTCATACCTAGACTAAGAAACAAGTGCTCGACAACATTGCTCATACAACATCTATTTTTAGATATTCATGCCTAAACCAAGAACGCCCACAGAGAGAGAGAGGGAGGTGATGGGTACTTTATCGACAACCAGAATGCACGAACGGTGATGGGTCCTTCATTATCAATAAGAATGCATGGTGAAGGTCCTTCAGTGTTGGCGAGAACGCATGGTGATGGCTCCTTCACTGTCGGTGATCATCCTTGAACTGAGTTGTGTCAAAGATGATGTTGCCTTGTATTGACTGTCGAAGACAGGGAGTAATGGCGAAGGAGTTGTTGGGGAAACATAAGGGTGACAGGAAGATAAAGGCATGTGATATCGAGATCGAAGTATTGAAGTAGAGGGTATTGAGGTCTAAAGGAATGAATTTCATGGAATTCACCTGATTTCATAGAGTATGAGAAAGAATCAGATTCTAGCATTTTTGTTAGAATTGAATTCCTTGGGAATCATAACTCTTGCCTACCAAACGCACTTGCATCAGGATTCTATTTTTGATTCCATTTCTTTCTTCCTAATTCAATGATACCAAACGAGGCCTAAGTGCTTAATTCTCAATTCTTATCCTATTAGAGCACTTCGGGCTTTGAACTAAGTGCAAAAGGACCACATACATTTAATTGATACTACACATATCAATTATCACATCAATAGCCAATTTTAGCCTCTCAATGTCACATTACACACTTGTGAATTTATACGAGGAATACACATATAACATATATTAACATATATACAATTAGATTTATTTCACTTTCAACCCTCCGACTCTTACATATAGGGCTTTGCCTCACCATATGATTGAAAATTACAAATGTACTCAACTCTTCTAAATGGGGCTTTGCCTCACCATTTGTGTTAAGTTCTCACATATTTACACAATTCACAATCCATTCACAATCAGTACATATATACATAAGTAGAACAAGTTGCAAAACAACATGTACTTGCTTGTTTCGCATTTAGGCCTACCTGTGTACCCTTCACTAGGGCACACTCAACATAATGCAACAATATATATATATATATATATATAAGCAAGTTCACATAACACAATTCACTTTCTCATATTCACATGCATTTATGCATCTTAGTTGGCAACTCTATCAACACATTATACATTCATTTACATTAATAATAGTCATACCACTATCAATTGAGGTTACTTTTTGTCGCTTCCTTTCTTGGCTTTTTAGTATCTCTTCACCTGTGTTCAAAAGGAACAAAGTAAGACATGCATCCCAGTAACTTAAAGGTAACCCTAATTATCAATTAGGAAGTAAAATTATAAACAAATGATAAAGTAGCATGTGTATCAAATAAAACAATATCATATACATATGCAAGAAGTCATTCTCATCAATTTTGTTATACTCATGCAATGCATTCTTGGTTACATCTAGCGGAGTAATATCTATGCTCGAACCAAGACTTTCAATCACAAGGAACAGGGCCCACTATACCACTACTCATACTAGGTAATCCTCTTTGCGTATGGGTGGTCTCCTAGATCCGTTATGGCAGAGTCAAGCTTTATGCTCTGGATCATTAGGACTTCTTAGCCTTATATAGAGTAAGACCACGACTCCCTACTCTAATTTAGGGTAACCTTATGGATCATTCAATATCCTAGGTCCGTCATAGTGAAGTCAAGCTTTACACTCTGGATCATTAGGATTCTTCTCCCAGGTTCGTTCTAGTAAAGTTAAGCTCTACACTCTAGATCATCAAGACTTCTTAGACCTCCTCATGATAGAGCCGCGTCCCCCTACCATAATTTAAGGTATATCTCACGGACACGATGCATGTCAATGCATGTGCCACTTCAAATTCATTTCAATCAATACTCACACCCACATGCATAGATTTTCACAATACTACTACTCTATCAGTTCACAATACAATGCACGTAGTTATATTAAAGTATTTGTAAATAATTTTACAAACAAACAAGTAAAAGGGTTACTCTTATTACATTTAACCTGTGCTATTAAGGGTTATTAATCACACTGAGCTCCCAAGGGTGCAGATTCTCATGAACAACCTCATAGTTGCTTAATCTATATAACATAGTTCCTCTTAGTTAATTCTCAATACTTTTCACAAGCATTGATTTCGCTAAACTGAATCTCTTAACACATATAATAGTTCAATTGAATCCTTTTGAATTCAGTTATTCATTATTTATAGTCATTAGTCCTATAAGCTATTCAAACAACCATAACAATTTCTTAACACATTATTCAACCATAATTTTACGTTTTAACCTAACTTTTTAGCTATTTTGAGCCTAAATCATCAAAGCTCAACCATTCAACTTCATACTAATCACAAAACCTTAGTTCTATATTTGATAGTCCATTTTAAGCCTTTCTTTTAGATAACAACACCTCAGAATTTCATGATTCAATTTCTCAACTGATGAAATTTAATGAAAAAGGGGTAGAATTGAAGCTTGGGATTGTGCGATACTTATCCAGTAAGTTATTAATCGAAGTATACTCTTGAGCTCCAGATATTGCTTACCTTAATAGAGCTGAACTCCTTCACCACTCCAGATGCATTTCCAGCACTTTCACTTCTAATTTCACGAGCTGATTATGTCAGCTTTAAGTGATCCATGGACAATGCACCGCAGCTCATGGCACAGTGAGAAAACTTTCACTTGTACTCACACGTTTTACCTTGAATTGTCTTTCTATTCTTCAATCCTATCAACACATCATCCAAACAATACAAAATATCAACTTAACACCCAAATCACAATCAATTCATTTATTACTAATTTATCCTTGATTAGCAACTAGTTCTTAGAATTGAAATTTAAAATGTTACATAATAGGTATATTCTTCATTGGAATTTCCATATCCTCTACCACCATGATTCCTCTTGCTCGACCTTTAGCCATCATAGTTATGTTGTCAAATGAGGTTAGAGGTTGTGTGAAAGATAGGTTGCATTACACTTCCTCTTAACAAATCATGTAATATGCTTGATTCATTAACGATAATAGGACCATCAAGAGGATTTGACTTTGAATATTGTGATAAGACTCATTCAAGTCCATTAGGAATTGAAAGAGCTTCTGTTGGTAGACTATTTTGGAGTAATCGGTAGAAGACTCACATTTGCAACTCAAGAGTGGGTCTAAAGTACCATACTCTTTCCAACGTTCCTTAAGCTTCGTGTAATAATTGGAGACTGAGAGAGAGCCTTGGCTAAGGGTGTTGATGGAATGATATAGATGAAAAACTAGTGCTGTATCGGTGATGTTGAATCGCTCTTTTAAATCTGCCCATACTTTGTGTGCAATTTCACAAAATGAGATGGATGTTGCGATGTCCTTTGAGACAGAATTGAGAAGCCACAATGGAACAATTACATTGCATCTATCCAACTAGGGCTTAAGAGAGAACGGATTAGTAAAGCAATCTCAAGATCCATCAACTATGACAAACTTGTTCTTGACCATCAGCGCCATTCTCATCACATGACTCCAAATAGTGTAATTTCCACTGCTCGTGAGAGGTTGTGTGATGAGTGACATGATTTGGATATCATATGGATGTACAAAGAGAGGATGCGAGACATTGAGCATTGATGTGATGCGTTCTTATCATGTGACATGCTTGATTTGGCTTTTCCCGCATTGCTTTTGCCATCATCTACCATTTTTTAAGGAAGATTGATCGGAGTAATTAGGAAAGATGAAAGTATCAAGATTTTCTATGATGTGGAAGGTTTTCTTGTGACAAGATTGAAAAGAGAAGAGAGCAAGAAAGTTGATGGAAACTAGGGTTAAAGTTTCTTGGGTGGATGTGCTAAACGCACCATTTAGACCAGCTCTTGATACCATGAAAGCATTATGGGCTAATATGAATAATACATTTTTATTATTATCAACCTCCAAAAAAAAATACAATAGATGGATTGGCTATTTATTGCCCAACGAATGCACCCGTGAAACAAGAAACAAAAGAAACAAGAAAAATAACAAACTATAAGCAAAAACATATAATAGGCCCAATACAATAGAGAAGCCCGATATATTTCATATCCCATAGTCCAATATTCTCTTCAACAATTTTTCCATTAGTGACATTCGGACTCGTGTATTTGCTGGAGCATTTGCATATTTGAGGTACATCAATGCCAGATCTCAATGTCCTTCCAAAACTTCTAGATCCACAGGGGCCAAAAATCAAGCTTCCAATTAGTTGCAAAGTTATAAAGCATAAGTTTTTACACCATGCTTACAGTTCCAAAACCAAATAAAAAGACTTAATCCTTCTTAAAAGTTTTAAAGTTTGTTATCTTTAAGTTTTATTGCAGGTCTTAGAAGATCTTTATGTGTCGCTGGCATTGGCATATAAACTCATGTATGTCAAAAAGAAAAAAAAAGAAAAAGAAAAAAGAAATACCCACATGAAAGTCTTTGTTAATAATGAATCAGAACTCCATAGAAGAGGGTGCACCTGAAAAGAAATTATGAAACAAAAAAAGTGGATAAACACACTTGTAAATAAAATGTTAAAATACAGTCTTATACCCGCTCATAACGATGATACCTTTAGCATAACCATTGACAACTAGAATCCAAGTCAATTAGAATTCTCACAAAAATAAAGTAGCACCATGAATGCTTTTTTAATGCAACTGAAACTGATATTGAAGACGCACATCTGAACTTTTACATACGGATTTAGACATATGCACTAATAATACATATTATTAAGATTACATATCGTTCACCGAACTTTGAACAAAACACCAGCAAGAAGACTTTCCTGCAACCAACCTCATCTGAGAAATCCTCGAAAAAGGCTCCGTCAAGATCCTCTCACATTATTTATCACATGATACTATCATTTTAGTTACTCATAATTCAAAGATGCCATGCTACATCACGACTAATTATTAGGTTGCCTTTGATCAAGGTCGAGGACCAATTTGACAACTCGGCAAAAGTTGAAAATTGTGAATATGAGGACAGCAATTCCGACCAAAGTAGAACTTGCTCTCCAAGCGTCTCTGAAGTACACCAACCTCAACGAAGCCATAGTACGATACCATTCATTCTGGTAATGTTTATTCAGATCATTTATAATCTTTTTATAGCATGTCTTGTTTGCCACAACGTGTTTGCAGAGACTATTCACCAGAGTCGCCACTTCCTTGTCACTCCCAAGTTCATGGACAATGATTTCCTTCTCAACCAGCAACTCAACATCGTCTTTGGTGTGAATGAGAGAGTCAATGAGAGAGACATAGTTGCAAATGTAAGGTTGATTCGAGTAATGACACTGCTCAAAGGCTATGAGGTTTCTGAGAACACATTCTGTTGTGTTGTCTATTGTTAACTGTGGGATTTGTAAACGAGCTTTGAAGTATGAGGATTTCGGTAGACAACCCAAGCACAGAAACCAACTCAAGATTTTAACTTTCTCCAATTTTATGTCAAGTAAGGATCGAACGGTAACTTTCTCAAAGCTAACTCCAGATTCCTGCAACTTAGTTGCAGTCTTTAGAACACAAGAGAAGGACCCTTTTTGATGATCAGTCACTTCCTTACAAAGGTAGAAGTACCTAGTCAAATAAAATCCGCGCAAGAATTTGTTAGTTTGTTATTATTATTGCTATTAGTGACATCAATATGCATATGCATCAATTAGTTATCTTAATACTTTTACATAATTTTTTGTCTGCATCTTCGTTCCCAAAAATTATAATTGACTCTTTTTATATAGTTTGAAATTGTTATTTATTTAGATTTTGCCATTAAATTTTCATCAATGTTCCCAAGGGCAAGTCAAGTGTTATAAAACCTTGAAGCTGCTTTTTATTAAGCTTTTCCCTGTGCTTTCTCTCAATGACACATCTCAATCATTAGATCAAATTTTAAACTACCTGAATTTTGTATTTGATAAAATTATTATTAAAATATAAAATTATAACAAATAAAGAAATAATTCCAACCTGCTGAAACGTGATTTGAATTGTTCAAGACTTTAGTGAAATTATTAAAAAGATATTTTGTAAATATTAAATCTAGCTTGTTTAAAATTTGATCCAATGGTTGAGATGTGTCATGCACAATAGGGAAATAGAGGGAAATCTAAACGAAAAACAGCCACCCATATAAAACCTGAACTTATTTATAATTTTTTAAACTATAAAGATTAAATTATTAAAGAAATGGTAAATAAGCAAATTACCTCATGAACTTTAAATCTAAAATCACCATGGGCCCTTAACTCATTTAATGTGCAAATTATTCACTCAACTTTTGAAAAAAAAAATGCAATCTAGCTCCTATCATTAACAACTTTGATCATTAGTTGATTAAAAAATGACAAAAAAAATTTTTTAAATTACAAACAAGGATCCAAAAATTACAATGAGGATCTCAAAGATTATAGAAAAGAACCCCAAAAAATTTTTGGTCCTTTCTATAATTTTTGGAGTCATTTTCTGTCATTTTTTAGGTCTTTTTCTGTTTTTTTTTATCAATTAACAGTTAAAGTTAACTTTCATTAATGATAAGGGCCAAATTTCACCATTTTAAAAAGTCAAAAAAATAATTTGCATAATATACTAGTTTAAGGTGTACAGTGCTACTACATTTAAAGTTCAAAGAGTAATTTGTTCATTTATCCTTAAAAAAAACTATACAAAATATTATAGATCTAATTATAATAATGGGAATGTAACAATATGTAAGTATTATAAAGCCAAAATCACTATTCCTTTTTTTTAAATGTAATTGTATGCATAATAAACAGCAATTGAATGTTATGATTAGTATTGAAAATTAATACGGTGCTTTTGGAGATAATAAAAGTACGCACCTTATCAAATCAGTGAAATGTACAGGATCATTTTTCCAGTTCTTCTTCACTCGTTCAAACCTGAATGAGGGCTTCTTTTGCAAATAAGAATCTGAATTATTGTTGTTTCCTGAGGGCTTGGGATGATCTGAATCTTGTTTTTCATCTTTGATTTTTTTATAAGGATGAAAACACTCGAAGTAATCGTGGGCGACCTCAATGAATTTGTTACGCATGTTAACGGTCTTAGGGACAACAGAGTTGTACAGCTCTTTCAAGATGAATAATGGAATCTGGTTTTCAAGCAGAAGCAAGTCTCTCTGGACACTCTTGTTCAGCCATGTTTGTTTCAGTATAACATCATCATCATCTAAACATGTTTGTTTCAGTACAGCAACATTATTATCATCACCCTCCTTTTCTTCTTCTTCTTTTTTTCCTCTGAATCCTCAGAAATAGTTCCATTATGAATACAGAATCTAGTAGTACCTATTAGAGATAAAAGAAGTCTCACATTTAAAAATTAAAAAATAAATTATGAAAAGATGAAGTTTGAGATATGTCAAACCAATAGCTTAATCTATTTTGGTAAAATATGATATCCTTAAATATATATAATATAAAGAATTCGATACTCGGAGCAATTGATTGATGAGAGATAAAAAGAAAAAAGAAAAAGAGGAAGAGGAGGAGAAGTAGAAAATTGAATGGACCTAAAGCTTTTAAAACTACGAGAAGAGTAAGAAAAAATAAAAAGATATAGAAGATGGATTATCAGAGATAAAAGAAGTCTCAAGTTTAAAATTAAAAGATAAATGATAAATATATATATATATATAATTTAGGATTTGTCTGGCCAAATGACTTAAATTATTTTGATAAAATAGATTATTCTAGAGCACATTTAACATAAAGTATAAAGAATTTAACAATACCAAGTCCACCAACTTTTGCCCACAGAACAGCTTTTCTGCATAGCATTGGCGTATTTCTTGTTCTTTTTCTTTAAGGAAGGCCTTGAACTTGTGCAGGGCTCCAATGTTGCCCTTGACACGTTCCTTGAAGAGATTCAAGTAGTGAAGTTTGTGTGCTTGCATTGGTTTTAGCTTTTTCTGACCATAGTGAAGTGGTCCTATTGAAACCAGCTGAGGAGTGTAGGCATCCTTATTCAGCTTCCGAAGATTGCATGGGACTCTGTAGATGTTGTTCTTAGTTGTGTTCATCGGATCTTCCGGTTCAGTTTTTATATCGATCATAATGTCTTTCACTATCTCATACTCATGATTTGGTGAACCGAAGGAGTTTGTATCAGATCCCATTGAATATTGAAGCCCAACCTGCTATTTAGCCAAATGATAGAAGAAGAAAGCTGGTAAAAAAAGAATTACTCTGCTTATAAATGTAGGAGCTAAATAACTACTCCATCTACTCCATTTTATGAAATGTTTGTTGGCAGTGATTTGTTGTCCTATAATATAAGATGTTTTGGGTAAAAAAAAAAAGATTGATTAATGAAAATCAATTAAAAATTACCTCTAATTTTTACACTCCTTAAATGTATATTTCCTGCTCTCTTTCTTGCTAAATGAAAGGTATATGTATTTAGATGTCATAAAAAAACTAAGATTCCAAGCTTCATCTAATCGATTTCATTGGTATCCACAATACTCTTATCAAAATATGTCTTACAAAACCAATAAAGGTTAGTCTCGTTGTAAGAATTTAGCCAATATAATCTATAAAATCATGGGTTAAAATTTGATTATTGATGTAATGACTTTATTAATAGATAATTTGTATATACTTCTACAAGTACTCATTGAATCGGTAAGCATACCCTTACTTTGATGGTTACTCGAGACCTAGCTTGCCTAAGCTTTTATGTTTATAAAAAAAATGTCTTATAAAATATGATAGGAGTAGTTCACATAGATTAAGAGATAGAGGGAGAGAAGGAAAACTATAAAGAAGGAAAGGAAAAGGAAAAATTTTAATTAAAGACTATGGATGAGGTTTAATTACTAGTAGATTTCAAAAAATTCAGAAATTTTAATTCAATTCAAGAGGATTGAAATGTAAATAATTTTAACAGTAAAAAAATCAAAATATCCTTCACTTATTATGCAGAATCATTAGTTATTAATTTTTTATTTCACTTATTAATTTACTAGTATAAGCTATAAATTACATGAATTAATATGTTAATAATTATACAAGACCTGACATTAGTTATTCAATCACAAATAACTATATCAATTATTAAATTATTAATTTTACTTATTAATTTATGAATATTAGTTGTAAGTTATTGATAAGTATTGTAATTTATAACTGATATTAGTAAATTAACTAATGTCACTTTCTTGTTTGACAAAAAAGTGAATTAAAAAATTAATAATTAATAATTTTGTATAATAAGTAAAAGATGTTTTAATCTTTTTACTATTAAAATTATTTATATTTCAATTTTTAGATTAAACTGAATTAAAATTTTAAATTTTTTAAAAATCATTAGTAATCAAATTGTATCATTTCTCCCAAAGAAAACGATAGAATATGAATAAAGAACAAAGAAGACGAGACAAGGATGAATAGTAGTGGAGGCACGTGGCAATAGCAGCTTCACATGCATCCTCCTCACTCCTCAGGACATGATATGGCCTAACTCAATGGAAATATCGGTGTGTGAAAGACTGATGAAATGAAAAGTTAACTAAAAAGGAAAGAATACCACAATTATCCTCTATATAACTGGTCCTACTTGGCAGAAAAAGAAAAAAAAAAATCCTACATTACATTATTGTGGATTTATACTCTAGACCATTGCACTATGTTGGAAGTTCTACTTCGTAGCTATATGGCAGTCTGGACTGTTTATTGTATTTAAAAAAAAGGTTAAAATGTATTTTTATTCTAACTATTTGCTCAAGAATATCTGATATTCTAATTTTACATGTCATATAATTTTACTCTTCAATATTTAAAAATAATGTATCAAACACCCTATCATTAAAAAAGTTAATTTTTTAACTATTAATTGATCCAAAAAATTATAGAAAATAATCTCAATTATAAAAAAAACACTCGTAAAATAATAAAGAAGTATCCTATAAAAAAAATTAATATCAATTAAGTTTTCAAAATAGTGTTATAATTATAAATTTTTCTCCAAAATTTATAAATCCTCCTTCAATAATTTATAAATAATGTAAAGAACGCTTGCATTTATAAATAGCAAATACACTAGTTAAATTATAAATTTTAAAAAATATGTAGATTTTAAAAGTAAGCTTGTAAAATTTGCTCCAAAAAATTGTAAATTGCGTGTGAAGAAAATAATAATTAATAAATATCCTAAAAGGCTAATGAATATAAAATGTTTTTTAAATCTCAATGGTATAAATCACAATAGATAATGTATCCTGAGAAGAAGGATATTTTCTTCAACAACATAGTTATTTGAATGAACAATGTAAAATTTGGATTGAAACTTGCGGGTCTGCGAACTGGCCTGTAGTCCAGTCCAAGAGAAGCCAATTAAGTCAAGGACATAGGGAACCAGTCAACAAATTGAGGCCAATAAGGGGGAAAGAAGGGGCTCCGACAGGGGTCGCGGCTCCCCTAATTTTTAATTTTTTTTAATATTATATAAAGATTATATATTTTTAAATTTATAAAAATTTAATAGTACATGCTTTGGACTATAATATTTATTATCGTTAACTAATTTATGTTTAAAAAAAAGTAATTAAAACCTTGATTTTTTAAAAAAAATCATTTTTTTTCGATCATGCTATTGAGTATAATGAATATAACATTTAGCTTATTCAAAATATCATCATTAATTATTCAATAAAATAAAGGTATAATTAAAAAAAATATGATACTGTCTAATGTCTAATATTTTGAATCAAATAAAATTTTAAAAAATAATTTATATTATAATTCAAAAAAAATATACTTTATAATCTTAGCCCCTATTATTATTAAATCTTGGCTCTATCCCAGGGCCAAATAAGTAGGGAAAATCGTATACAAGAACAGCTGAAAAATAACTTTCATGAGCAGTGCTTGAATATAATTGTCCCTAATAAGTAAAACCAGCCGGTTCACTAGTTTTGCCAGAAGAGAAGGAAAAAAAAAAAAGAGGAAGTAGGAAAGGAAAAATTAAAAAAGATAGGAGATGAAGAAGACAGAAGTAGAGTTAAAAAAAAAAAACTGATAAAATAATTTTACAGTTCATAGGACAGTGAATTTAATACTACCATGGGATTCACAATTATTTTTTAATTTAATTTTTTTTATCAATGTTTTACAATTATTCTTTTTATTTAATCTCGTGCATCGCACGGGATATTTTCTCGCTGAATTGAAAAAAAAAAAAAATTGTGAGTCCATGGCACTGTTAAATCCACTGTTCCATGAACAGTGAATTATTTTATATTTTACTATAGGTAAGATAATGGTTAACTTAAAAAGGAAGAAGATTATTGTCCACTACCACTATAGAGCTGGTGGTCCTACTTCGCTGAAAAACGGGGGGAAACAAAAGTCCTAAATTACGCTGTTCGTTTAGAATTTTTATATTTAAAAATTAGAAAGTTAAGATTTGGTAAGCTTTTTCCCCCTAATTATACATTATTTAACAAATTTCACCAAAATTTTGTTCCTCTTTCTGGATGTTTCTTCTAATTGTGTTTAATTTTCTCAATCTCAGACATCTTGCTATTGAGAGATCCAACTTACATTAATATCTTTCTCATTTTATTTATCTATTTATTTGATACAATAATTTTTATTTCATATATTTTAAGTTAACTAATTAGCCAGTTTAATTTTTTTATTAAAAATAAAAACTTAATATCATTTTAGCAGTAGCCGAGCTAGCAACAGATACAGAGAAAGCCCTCACTGTAATTTTAAGGGTTTCCAGTCCCATAGTAAACGCTATAGAAAAGATATATAGATCATAAAACAGAAGAAGAGAAAGAGAAACAAAAGCAAGAAAAAATACAGAGCTTAGATGCAAGCGGAAGAAATAACATAAAACATGATAACGTAAAAAGTTTCTGAATTTCTGCAGTAAAACTGAGTTTTATATTTCTTCAGAAACAAAAGGCCAAAAAAAAAAGGGGGGGGAGTGGACATGAAAGATATCTGAACTTGGAACAGTTTGTTGTCTCTTCTCAGAAAATGATCTTTGTATTGTGTTGGCTGAGTATGGTCTGAAATCTGAGTTGCAGGGCTTAATTTCTATGAATCTCTCGAGGGAGAGAGATAGAGAGAGAAAGTGTGAGAGAGAGAAGGTGGTTTGTGTGGATGTTGGTATCTTGTGGGATGATACTGAGGACGACACAATAGGGTGCCTGCACATCAAATTGATCTTTTTGGTGGCTGGGGATGAATAATAAATAAATTTCCGAGCTGAAAGGCACAGGCATTTCACATCAACATTATTAAAGAGAAATTTACTTGTCCTCTGATTGGCCCGTGAAAGGATTTTTTTCAACGGAGATAAATGTCTAGAAAAGAGTAGTTAAATTATTAATTTTAATATATATTTCAGTCTCTCTCTGTTAATTTTCTTTCATAATTTAAAAATTTAAATATGAATAATATTTAAAAATATAATTAATATCACATAATATGCCTTATATTAGCCATTAAAAATTACTTTTAAACAATATTCTATAATAAAAACTGAATGGAGTTTTTATTTAAATAAGCCATATCTTTTTCATTAAAGTATAACCCCAAGTCAATCAAACCAACATGATTAACAAATTATATATTATATAATATTACACAAGTGCGCATACGTACAAACATACATATCTAATATATTTAAGTTTTGATAGGTTTAGTTTAAAGCCTTATTATCTATTGAAAGGCTTGCATAAAAAAAAAACTTTTAAATAGGTCTTTAAGCAAGACCAGACCTTCAATAAGCTTAGACTAAGATTTTTATTTACACTGTTTTTTCATTAACAGTAAAGATAATCTTACTCTGACATATAGTAAAATACTAAATGTAAAGAACTCTAATCTGAAGAGGTTAAGGAAGTTTTTCGGCGGTATGAGTTATGGGACTCGGCTTTTCTCTATTTTTCTCTCTCTTTATTTTCTCTCCACTTCTAGTTAAGATCTATTTTTAAATAGTTAAAATTTTAATATTTTATAAAATTATCATTATATTTATTTTTTATAAAATTTTTTATTTTAATAATAATTTCATAAAACATCAAATTTTAACCATTTAAAAATAAATTCAGGATTCGTTTGGTTTTCTTGTTTTTCATATTTAGAAAGTAAAATTTTA